CCTTCTCGATCGCCCGTGGCTGGCACAATGCTATCCGTTCAAAGCAGTATCCAGCAGGCCTTCCAGGGCTTCCGCCCCGCCTGCAGCCTCAACTCAATGAGGGCAACAAGTTGTTTCACAATGATGTGAGGATTTTCGACCAGTGCATTAAATGCCGAATTCCCTTTCTCTGGGAGAACCCGCAGAGCAGCTACATGTGGTACATGCCTGATGCGAATCGCATCGCAGCTGTCCCACAAGTGCTCGATGTCACCACCCGCTACTGCGGATGGGGCACTGCGTGGAGAAGCCGACTCGATTTCGAACTCTTCTCTTGCCCGACGCCGATCGGCTTCGCAAAAGGTGCATTGGGCGTGGACTTTGCTCTTTCACTGGCGAGGCTCACCATGTGCTGCAGGGCCGAGACGACAGTGGTATCCACTGGACTCGGCGTGCCAATCCCTACCCACCAGCGCTCGTTAGACAGCTCGCTGGTCTATTTCTGGACGCCGGTTTTGCCATGCAGTTTCCTCTCTGTGTGCATGCTTCCAAGGCGTAGAAGAGCCCGCTAAATTTGGGCTGAAGAAGGAATGTTTGATGTAGGACAGGCCCCCTACATTTGGTAGTTGTATGATGCTCGTGCGCGTCGTTCGACTCTCCCGAGCCCCCGGTTCAGATGTCTTGTTTACGCACAGGAGTTTGCCGTTCATCTCATGTTGTTCAGAAAGAGTCTCGGAGTAGAAGCAGCTAATAGAGCGGGCTCGGTTTGCAGCTGGGGCTCAGAGAGTCTCAGGAATGTTCACATTTTCCATAGTCTCTCTAGGTCCTCCGCCTCCCCTCCTCCTCTCTGCGGGTACAGCGTATATGTGCACTGGCCGTCGTGGTAGTTGTATGATGCTCGCGCGCGTCGTTCGACTCTCCCGAGCCTTCGGTTCAGAGTTTTTTAACTCACAGGAGTTCGCGTTTCATCTCATGTTGTTCAGAAAGAGTCTCTGAGTAAAAGCAGCTGATGATGATGCTGATGTTGATGATGATGATGATGATGATGATGGTGGTGATGATGATGATGATGATGAGGTGAGGCGAGGCGAGGTGAGGTGAGGCGAGGCGAGGTGAGGCGAGGTGGGGCGAGGTGAGGTGAGGTGGGGGGGGGGCAGCGGGAAGAGGAGTGCGAACGCGGGGCGCTGTCTCTTCTAAACGAGGACCCAACACCCGAGCGAGCGAGATGGGGAGGGGCCGCAAGACGGCTGAGCAGCGGCGCCGCCGGCTGAGGGCCTGGCAAGCGGTGAAGGGATGGAGTGCTCCGCCGCCGGCCACGGCCTGGCGTGCGGAGCCACGCCGGAGCGTGACGCCAAGCGCAGCGCCTCGGGCGCCCGCGGGCAGCTGGGCGCCTGCGGGCTGCGAGGCGCCGGCGGCGGCGGCTGGGCGCCCGCGGGGCCGCCGGGCCGCCTGTTGCCCCTGAGCGGCCGAGCGCCCGCGGGCGGCGGTGCGCGCGCGGGCTGCGGCGCACGGGGGGCGGCGGCGGCCGGGCGCCCGGGCGGCTGGAGCCACGCTGGCGCCCCCGCGCGGCCAGGCCCGTGGGTTCCCCCACGGCCAGCCTGGCGCTGAATTCGCAAGTGCAGTGCCGTCATGAGGGGGCGGCGGTGCGGGCTTGGGCGCAGCCGGCGGCAGGCGCAGCACGCGCCGCCTGGCCGCGCCCCGCGCCGGCGCGGCGTAGGCACCGGCGCACGAAAAACCCCGGGTGCGCCGGCGGCCGCAGGCTGCCCGCGCCCCCAGACCACATGGAGGGTGCGCCGGCAGCGACCGCTGCCAGGCGCAATGCGGGGGCCCGTCTTCTCCTGTCCTTGCCCCTGCCTCTGCTTGCTCTCCCTCGCTTCCCCCTCTGGGGCTCGAGCTTTTCTGGGCCAGGCTGGCCCGTCCAGGAGGCCCTGCAGGCCTCTCCCACCCGTTGGCCTTCGAAAGGCTCTCTGCCCGCGGTCGAGGGGCCGCGGGCGGAAGAGCCCGCTGACGCGTGGCGGAAGGCGTGGAGCGGAGCGTGCGCACACGCATCGCCAACATCATCTGAGTCATTATCTTTTCCTCCTCGACCTCCCTCGGCATAGGGTCGAGGAGCCTTTTCGGTAGTGCGCTACTGCTGTCAGGGATGGCCGAGATGCTCTCAGAACATTTCTGGCTGGGGCTGTTTTGTTTTACCACATCCGGCTTATATTGTAAGAACATTGTTGACGTTCTTAGACCGTTTTGGGGTTCAAATAACATTTCGTGGTAGGACTATAGGAATGCCAGGACGGCTTTTCCCTGCTCAATTCGTGGGGATCGAGCCGAGGACCGAAGAATTCTGGGCATCGCTCGGGCGTGTGTGTCTCGGCGAGGCGAGCACCAGCTCTAGACCATCTTGGATCATTCGGGGCCGTCTCGAGACAGCAAAATCACGCACGGAACCAAACAGTGCACAGGAAATGCACGTCCGAACGATGGCAGGACGTGGGCACGAGGATCGACGGCAGCGCTTGTCCTTTTTGGAGCAGGGCTTTGCAACGGTGGTGCCGCGGCGGTTTTCCTGTCCATGTGATTGAAGCGTCGCCTGCCCGACAGCGGCCGCTGCCCGTTTTGGACAACATTTTTTGTGTGGCATCGCCCACAATCTTACAGTCAACCCGCATAGGAAGGATGGGCAACCTTCCCAAGAGTATCCTTGCATCCTTGCCTCCTCGGTCTATCCTTGGCCACTTTCGTTGACCGCGCCCCGCTCGAAAAGTTTCGGCATGGCCTTCCAAGGCCCTTGCATCCTTATTGTGTGCCCTTATGATACGGGCCGATTGTAGCGAGTCCCCAGCGCGGGCGTGCCGATCGAAGGCCAAGACGCCCCGACGGCCCAAGAAAATATGGGAAATTATGGGAAGTGGGGGGGAAGACAAAAACCCAGAAAATATTGAAAATATTGGGAATCCTGTTTTTTTTTTTGCGTGTATCTATTTATGTGTCCTTAGGCCCCTTGAAAAAAACGCGCTCCATCGAAGGGATGCCAGGGCCTTGTGGCCCCGAACAGAAAGCGAGTCGCCGGATGTCTACAAGCAAGGCAAGCTCAGAGGAGGTGAAGTTTGTGTAATTAGTGTGCGTGGGGGGGCGGGGCTCAGTGGGCCCTGGAAACGGTAGACGGAGGGGGAGGAGGGGGAGGAGAACTCGAGGTGATGTGGCCTTGGGTGGTTGCTCACAAGGTCGAGGTCGACGCGTACTCGGAAGTTGATGGTTGCCCCCACGGGGCCGCGGAACGATTTCCTGCAACCCCGCGACGCGTGCGAGAGGGAGCGGCGTCCGCAAGTCCAGGAAACAAAAAGGTCAGCGAATCCAGGACACATGAGGAACATATGCTGAAAACGAAATCCAGAAGCGCGAGAAAAGCACCTTTGCGCCCCTCTCGCTTCCATAGCAGTTGATTATGAGAAGCCTGCTACCGCAGACCCAACCCGTAGCAGTTTCATGAGCAGTTGTATGGATAGTGTCCTTCTTACATCGTGCGCGCCGTGGGAGAGCGAGAGAGAGAGAGAGAGAGAGAGAAAAACAGCGGAAGAGATACGGGCACATTGGCAGACATATTGACAGACGAAGAGAGACAGAAAGAGAGAGAGAGAGAGAGGGAAAGAGGTGTGTGTGTGTGTGCGTGCGTGCGTGCTTTTGTGTACGCGCGTGTGTGTGTGTGTGTGTGTGTGTGAGTGTGTGTGTGTGTGTGTGTGTGCGTGAGTGTGTGTGTATGTCTGTGTGTGTGCATCTGCGTCTGCGTGCGTGTGCGTGCTTGTGTGTGTATGTGTGTGTGGGTGCCAGTGTGTGTGTGTGTGTGTGTGTGTGCGTGCGTGCGTGCGTGCGTGCGTGCGTGCGTGCGTGCGTGCGTGCGTGCGTGCGTGCGTGCGTGTGTGCGTGAGTGTGTGCGTGTGTGTTGGGTGGGTGAGTGGTGAGTGGGTGTGCGGGTGTATGTGTCTGTGTGTTCGTGCATGCGTGCGTGTGCGTGTGTGTTTGTGTGCGTTTGCTGGGGGGGAACATGCTTCTCTTCGCTGCGTGGGCGGGGCCAGTACGAGCGCTTGCTTGGCCAGTCCTACGCCGCGCCGTCACGCGCGCGCGTGGCCGTGACGCCAAACGTGCATGTGTGTATGGGTGCTTGTTGTGATTTGTTGTGTTCTGCTCTGTGTTGCTTTCTCATGTAATGGCATGTTCTGTTGTGTTCTGTTGTGTTGTGTATAAGGGCGGCTATCAGAGGAGGCGTCACATTCGATAGGGCTGTGCCGAATTGGGCTGGGGGGGCCGCGACAGAGGCCGCAGTTGGAGCCCCCAGGATGGCACGAGACGTCGGAGGGGCGCCCCGAACGGGGCGGGGCGGCCGCCTGCGAGCGTGTCCTGAGCGTGTGGCGAGCGTGCCGAATTCGGCGAGGCGGCCACGTGCGATCGTGCCCGCACCTGACGACGTCCCCCCGCCGACTTCGGCGCACCCGTCACACCACGTTGTGCGCTCCATGGGGAGCTCCGACCGTGGCCCCGCTGAGTACGTTCGCATGCGGCCCCCCCCCCACAGCCACACTCGGCACACCCCTTGCACGTCTCGCGCAGGAGGGGCCCCTTTTGCGGCCATACGGTGGGGCAGGGGTAAGCCCATCCCAGAATGGGAAGTGGGGGCCCCGTGAGCAACTTGCGGCCAGAGGGCGAGTGTGATTAGTAGAAATCCCTGCGCATACGGAGTCGCACCCCTTCCATCCGCGCCTCATGCCTCTCCCTTCCCATCTGCGTTTCGAAACCATGCATACACATGGGTGCGTGGCGTATCAACAATGCCTCAATGCTTAGATTTGCCCTTGGGCATTCTCACGGTGCAAGCAGTGATGCCTTTTTGTGGTGTTGCTTGGTTGCGATCTGCATGGCGGGTGCCTGCCCTTGACATGCACATATACCATAGACATCAGTCAATTCGTGGTCGTGTACTGCCTTACTGCGTCGAGTTGTTAGATGAGTCATTTTGTTGGTTTGGGTTGAAGGACCTCGCTGCCTTCATCTGCGACTGCTTCTGGGACCCAGCAGTGAAGAACTCCACCCTGCCTGTTGGATGGGGTGGGGGGTTGTAGCAGCCATGCGGAATCGTGCTCTGCCCTCGTAGACGGAGCGGACGCCATACAACCACGAACGGGGAGGGAGGATGGGAAAAGGGAGGGATAGAGAAGAGAGAGGAGAGAGAGAGAGAGAGAGAGAGGAGCGAGAGAGAGAAGAGGGAGAGAGAGAGAGAGGAGCGAGAGAGAGAGAGAGATAACGTTGCATAGGCAGACGAAGTGCGAGACTTGTGCCAAGAGAGGAGAGAGAGAGAGAGAGAGACGAGACAGAGAGGTGAGAGAGAGAGAGAGAGAAACGAGAGAGAGAGAGAGAGAGAGAGAGCGATGCGCAGAGGCAGAGGGGGGGCACAGCAGGGTGGGCGGGCGGAGAGGCAAGGGCACGGAGCCGCGCTGCCGCGGGTCCAGCGGGGCGGCGGGAACTGATCAGTATCCTTTAAACGATCCCCATCCCCATCCCCTTCGAGACCCCCACCAAATTACCACCCCAGTTGGGGATACACCCTTCGAAACCCGAAGGGAACGACCTATATCCCCATCTCGAGGGGTAAATCGGCCAGTGGGGCCCAGGCCACGCCGCTGGGGATGGGGATCGGTCAACCGATACTCATGAGGCGGAGAGGGCCTCCTCAGAAGGCGGCGGGGCCTCTCAGAAGGACTCCGCCTTCCGAGAGGTTTTTTCTGTCTCCGGAAGAGGCGCAGAGCACTGCCCAGGCTGGGGGACTTCTGAGCCTTGTCGGCAGAAGGCCCACCCTTCCTCACTTCCCCCCCTCGCTCGCCGCCGACCAACGGGGCAGGCGGCCCGGGCAAGGCGATGACCTTCAGGGAGCAGGGCGTCTTGCTGCATGAGTCGATCGGCAAGGAGCTCGCGGGAGGGCTTCGGTGGGCTCGTGGCGTGTCGACGCGGCTGCGACCCCAGCGCCCGCCGGCGGTCCAGGCTGAACGCCTCCAACGGAATCGGCCAACATGGGACCCAAAGCCCCTGCAAACGGGGCGGTAGTGAACGAGCCGGTAGCTGAGGGTGCGTTTTCAATGGTGTTTTCAAGGAATTGGCTTGCCGCGGATGATGATGTATCGACGCTTTTCTCGCCCCGGTTTATCACGCACTAGTGCGAGGTGAATGCCCTGCCACCCCGTTCTGGCTTGAAGAGGCCCCTAACTAACGCCCCGTTTACCAACGCCCCGTTTGCAGGGGCTTCGGGCCCAGCATCGGTCAACATGGGACAATCTGGGGATCGAGGAGCCGCCGATCGCTGAAGGTTGAACGATCCATCAGGAAGAAGCGCCGAGGTCGTCACGACGCCCAGAATCGGCCAACATGGGACGATCCGGTGATCGAGGAGCCGCCGATCGTGGAAAGTTGAACGATCCATCCAGAAAAAACGCCGAGGTGGTCACAACACGGGCCTGCCCGGCAGAATCGAGGGCCGAGGTCTTGTCGGGCACCTTTTTGTCGGACATTTGATTTATATTTATATTTACATATATATATATATATAATATATATATATAATACATATATATATATATATATATATATATATATGTAAGTTTATACATTACAGTTGGGGCCCTATGCCAAGAAACACCCTGCTCGCCTCCAGGGTGCCCTGGGTTTCTTGGGCTTCGATGGCTTTGCTATGGAAATCGTGACGTTCCCACAAAACAAATGGACGTCCTGCGGTCTCAGGGTTGGGTTTCTTGTGGAAGCTTTTTTGTGGTCCAGCTCCTACTGTTCCAGTGGCGGGATGCTTTTCATCACAGGACTTTGTGAGGGTCGGGGGCGACGTCGGGGTGGTGTAGTGTATACTTGCTTACCCGCATGCCCGGGGGAACAGCGCAACACGTACACGCCAGGACCTCCCCCCCGTTCTTCTCTGCGAAGCTCAGCGCGCGGCCAAAAAAATAACGCCGCTGTACAGAGTTTGGCTCCTTACCTTGTGTCCCCACAGGCCTTCAGATCGCGCCGCCCCCGACGGCCGCCCCTTGGCTGAAGTCGGGCCTGTCCCCCTACAGGCCGATTTTGAACGAAAATTTAAACATAGTCGACAAATATTTCAAATTATTCAAAAATTGTCAAAAAGTCGTCCCAAAACTGTGTTTTCCTGTTGTTGAATTTCCTTCCTGTAGAGGGACAGGCCCGACTGAACCCTTGGCCCATAGATCGCCCCCTGCGCCGACTCCGCTCGAGCCGCCGCCTCGATCCAGGGTCGAGCCGGCGGCTCGTGCACGGCTCGCTGCGGGGGAGGCGGTCCCGAGGGGAGCTCTATCCCCGGAGAAAGCGATGATTGCTAAGGCCTTACGGCCGGTGCCGCCGATCCCGGAGGCCTCGGCCCTCGACGGAAATGGGAGAGACAGGGCGGGCCTTGGGGCCCCGGGAGGGTGGTTCTTTGACCCGGGACCCCTTTCTGAGACCCCCTCGTTCAAGTGAACACCGACGTTGCTCAGATTGGCTTCCCCTCCGCGTCGCGGCCGCCCCCCTCCCCCGAAAGGAAGCCGCCCTGGTGCCCCCCTTCCCCGGGCATCCGGGTGGGACCCCCCCCCCTCGGGGGGAAGGGGAAAAAGGGAAGGGGCTTCCCTTCGAGTACGCTACGACGTTGCTCAGATTGGCTTCCTCCCCGTGTCGCGGCCGCTCCCCTCCCCCGAAGGGAGCCGCCCGGGTGCCCCCCCCCACCTCCCGCGCATCCGGGTGTGACCCCCCCCCTATCGGGGAGAAGGGATAAAAGGGAAGGGGCTTCTCTTCACGTTGCTCAGATTGGCTTCCTCCCCGTGTCGGGGGGGGAGCAGATGGGCTCCCCCCGGGTCGCGGCCGCTCCCCTCCGCGTCGCGGCCGCTCCCCTCCCCCGAGGGGAGCCGCACGGTTGCCCCCCCCCCCCCTCCCTCCGCGCATCCCCCCCCCCCCCCGTCCCCCCCCCCTCGGGGGGAAGGGATAACAGGGAAGGGGCTTCCCTTCGAGTAAGCTGCGACGTTGCTCAGATTGGCTTCCTTCCCATGTCGGGGGGGGAGCAGATTGGCTTCCCCCCCGGGTCGCGGCCGCTCCCCTCGCCCGGGGAGAGTCGACCACTCCCCCTCTTGGAGCCGACGTGGCGGTGTCGTGGGCACGTGGGCAGCTCCCCTCCCCCGAGGGGAGCCGACCACCCCTCTTGGAGCCGACGTGACGATCTCGTGAGCAGACAACCCGCGCGAGCGCGCATTCTTAAAACAACGTATGGGGAAAGCGATGATTTACGAAAGCGAGAAACGGATGTATTACATTACCCTGCCTATATAATGAAAACAAGGCAATCCATCATTTAGTAAACGCAGAAGCCGGTTTACTGAATTCAAAAACGGGTTTTCTATATATGGGGCCGTTTTTCTAAATCCCAGTTTTTATCACTACCATCACCTGAGTGACTCGATTATTCTATGCCTCCTAGATTCAAGTCGAGCTTGTCCCTCTACAGGAGATGTATTCAAGAATAGTTCTAAAAATAGTCTTGAGACGACCTTATGGCAAGTGTTGCGCAGTGTTAGGTATTTATCTGACTACTTCTAATTCTTCGTCCAAAATCGGCTTGTAGGGGGACAAGCCCGACTTAATCTTAGATGGGGTCCGAGTAGACGGGTTCGGAGGATCGCGTCGCATCGCCGATGCATCGGCGATGCGGCTCGATGTGGAGCCCGAGCTTCTCCGCGCCGGCGTCGCCGATGCATTGCCGACGTCGCCGAGGCATCGCCGATGCATGTGCATCGCCGATGCATCGGCGATGCGGTGCAATCCTTCGACCCCATCTACTCGGACCATACATATAGGAGGCTTGTAGTAACGGGTACGCAGGTTTTCTGTTTTCGGGCTCCCGGGGCCCTCCATGGGCCCTGGGACCGTCAAACATACGTCAGGATGAAGAGCCGGCCTTGGGGGAAGGCCCCATGGTCCACGATCCGTCTCCCTCAGGGGCCGTCTCCTTCATGTTGAGGGGTGGTGCCCGTTCGCCCTCCCAGGCACCCAATTGTGGCGAGAAGCTCCTCGAGATCGCCGCGGGGAAAAGCACGCGACGACGGGGAACTCTGGGGTGGTGTTCGCTGCTCCTCATGCGCGTGGCTTGTTGGCTGCGCGCGCGGGATAATTTGGTCGTTCGCTGATGACGGTCCGTCGCTGCCCCCCCCCTCGGTATCGTTTAACCAATCCCTTTTCTCACCCCCTCAAGCGATACTCACCCCCTTCTCCCTCTCTCTCGCAAGTACAGGGCGCGCGAGTGTCCGTCCAAGAGGCCAGCCTCCCCGTGCCTCGTCCGGGCCGAGCAAGCCTTGTGCTGGATAGCTCTTCCACCGCGGGCAAGTTGCATCGAACAGACAGCCCGCCTGCGTTGGCACCGACAGCAGGAGCGGGACAGTGCACAGCTGGATGGTCTTGAGTGCAGAGGAATGCCGATGTGCTTTACCAACGACTGCATGCGTACCAGACAAAAACACAGGCCGCACAGTTGTCAGAGCCCTGCCGGGCTGCAGTGCTTGGTCATCGGTGGACGGTGTTAGGTGGTAGCCTGGACACTTGCGTCGTGGCCACGAGTGGAGGACACGGCAGGCGCGGTGCAGTCAGTAGGGGTCAACCGATGTTGGTGTGCGTAATCGATGTGGGGGTTGGCAAGTTTCAGGGCAGCCCGGATACGTAATGTGAGCAGGCGAGCGTTGCAAGTCAGTGGGGGACCGAATGCGAAGATGGTAGTCATCGGAGGGATGTGGCAGGCGTGCAACTTACGCCACAAGGCGCGCGTAGCATGCGCACCCCAGGAGCCGAACTTGATATCCGTGCCCACTGCGCTCTTCGATGTCATCAACGGATGGGGACGGGTCTCTCGAGCTCTGTGTGCGATGAGGGTCAGGGCAGAGATGCAATGACGTCAGAGATGTTGGTTTGAGCAGTCTATACAGGTGAAGAAGGTGAGGCGGTAGTCTGATGCTCCGTCCAGTTCAACATAAGCTTGATGCAAACTAGAGGTCTTTGCATCGTTGTAGCTCCAATTTGATGCCATGGGGGCAACACTTGGACCACATGTGCACATAGCATGATCGGGATGCAATCGATCGTTCTCCCCTTTTGACACTACCGATTGGCAAGCATCACATGCGCGGGCTCCCAAACACGTCCAGGCACCTCGAGTCAACGTATACGATCACTGGGGGCAGCATCGATTGGACGATTCAATCAAATTATGCATTGGATACCAACGAGCACCTGTCGGGACACGATCGGGACACCGGTGAGGCCACAGCATCGCTAGTGATTTTGGTCACCGGCGAACGCGAGTCAAAACACGTCGAGGCCGTGCGGGACCACACGGAAGAGAAGAGGCATAGCGAGGACCTCGACGTTGCGGAGAAGTTTCAGGGGAGGGAGGACGGAAAGGGTGTCGCGGATGTCGGCAGCGATGCCGAGCTGATATTCAGGCAGGTTGTTGTTCAGCCACGCGTCGCAGATGTCGGCCCTCGGCGTGTAGCCCTTCCCGAGTTCGAGAAGATCCCGAGTGCACATCGCTCTTTCCTTGGGCGCGCGCTGGCTGGCTAGAGCTGGAAATGCCCGCCGGGGGCCAAACCTGGAGGCCACCAGCGGTACCTCGGCACGAACGAACTGGGTACGGAAAGAATGGGTACAATGCCCAGCAGCAGTTCCTGTTCATTTTGAACACGACTCGCTTGCCCAACAGCGGCCGCTGTTGGTTTGGGACAGCATGTGTTGTTGGGCATTGTGCCCATTTTTTCCATACCCATGTCGGGCGTCCGAAGTACCGCGCTTGGGTACCGCACGTGCAGAACCCAGAGGCTGTTGGTGCCACGCACGTCCCTGCAGCGGGCCTCAGGCCCCGCCCCCGCTGCTCGCGCTTCGCGCGTCGCGGTCCGGGCCAGGGCGGCTGCTTTTCTCAAAGGGGGCGGCACAGGGGCGGTAGTCGCGCATCGCAGGGCGCGATGCACGATGTCAGGTGACCTAAACTCATCCAGCAATTAAGGACGCCCCCCCGTCTCCGGCGAAAGTAGAACGCACACGGCACCCCAGAAGCGTTGCCCTGGCATCTCGCACCTTCTATGTGAACGCAGACGAGTCTGCTCGCCGAAACAAGCAAACCGCCTGAGACATTCTCGCAATATGGTTTCCTTATAGTTCTGAGACAAGCGCCTCGCCTGAAACATCCACAGAAACTGTTTTGGACGCAGACGAGTCTGCGTCAGGTGGTCGGTCTGGGCGAGAAATGGAAAATGGAGTGTCCGCGCGTCGTCCCAGCGCTCGGCCTTCCGAGCAGGGGCGCCCCAGCAAGGGAGAGCCCAGCTTTGAAAAGGAACCGTCCTTGCCTGCGCGATGGGGGGCGAATAATTTTGGCGGTTTGGGAGCTAAGATGACGCGCCGTGCGTGGCGGGGGCGATATCCTCGGATGCACTGCCCCACACGACCGCCGGGAAACAACAATTTTTCAATAGGGGTTGTAATGATGATCGTTCAGGACAAGGATGATGCAGAACATGAGAAAAAGGAGGGGGGAGGAAAGAAGCAGGGTAGCCCGTCTGTTTTCGGATAGTCTTGCTTATTAGTATTGTGATTCGCATTATTATTACTCGTATTTTTTCAACTCTTATTACCATTCCAATTCCAACTGGGATACCACCCGAGCCGGGGACGCAGAAATTATTTATTTTCGTTCGATTTACGCGGTGCTAGTCACATCGTTCGGCGAACACCGCCCCCCAGAATTATTCAATTACGGTACGGTGCTAATGATAACCCCAGGGGCCTCGTTAATTGCTTCATGAGGTTAGGTTATGTCCTGACTTGTTTTCCCCTCACCTCATGCTGAGGGCAAGGATATCGAGGACGCCTGCGGCGAACGACCGCCGCCCCCACGCTTGTTGGAAGCGCCTATGTGGCAAAACGTCGGGACGAAGACTTGTCAAGCTATCGTACAATGTGTTCCCCGAGCCGTTGTGGAAACCCTTGGGGGGAAATGTTGGGGAGGAAGAGAGGAGGAGCGGGAGGAACTGTTGGAACGCTTTGGCCATGCCCGAGGAGCCGTGCTACATCCCACAACGCAGGCGCATGCCTGGCCAGGCACCGAAGCCCCAGACTTGACATGCCACAGCGCAGACGCGGCGGACCCATGCGTCCACGCAGCTCCAGCGCACGAATGCCGTCGCAGGAGGGGAGGGGAGGAGAGGAGAGGAGGGAGGGGGGAGAAGGACAGCTAGCCCTCACGCGCCCTTGCATGAGCTTGCGCAAGGTTGAAAGCAATCGTAGACGTCGGGAAGGTCAGTTTGCGGTCCGCCTAGGTTCGTCCGCGTGGCTGGCTGGATGAGCCGAGAGCCCATTGGGAACCATTTGGAAGGGCCAGGCAGAAACTAAACATGTTTTAACATCTGGCGCGCCAGTAATCTTGTGGACAGACCATGGGGAGCGGCATATCGAATGGCCATGGGCCCATCGCGTCACTACGCATGGATCGCGGACAGCAGACCTCTTGGGGTCTCCTGGGGGCGTCTTCAACCCAGGTGGGCCCCGTAGCTGCCTCTCGGATGTGTCTTTGGGGGGTTTCTTGGGAGCTTCTGGAGTCCCCTTGGCGGTCCATGGGCCATATTGGGGGAAAGGGTTCCACATGCCACTTCGACTTCTGCTTCTTGGAGGGGCCTCTTGGGTGCCTCGGAGCCCGCTTTGGGGCGATGTCTGGGGCCTCTTTGGCCGCCTTGGGCAATATCAAGACCGAAGAGCCGAGAAAGCGAATGTCTTATACAACACGTTATTATCGTCAATGCTTGTGGTTCTGTGGGCCAGCCCCCAGCGCACAAAACGACTCCGGGATGGGCCCTGGGACCATTTCGGGCCATGCTGGAAGTACAGAATCCCAACCACGATCCCGAGGCCGCTGACAAACATCACGCGAGATGCCCGGGTAGCGCTCAGGAGCGCCCGTGAGTCGGGCCCCTCGGGCCCCTGCACAGTGCTCTTATACACTGAGTGCAGAGAACTCGAAAGGGGCCTGAGGACATGCCACGTCGTGTCTCGCGGCACGGGGCCTCATCAGGGAGCAGGGAGCCGGCACCAGACCGAGAAGGAGGGGGTTACCCAGGGTTGGTCATAAGTACCCCTCCCTCGAGGAAGAGCCCTGATCAGTCTACGGTCGCACCCTCCTCAAAGGTTTGGTTAGGGATCTCTTGCTCCATGGAGTAGAAGCAGGAGCGGCAGGGGGGGAGGCTGCGATGAGAGGAGAGACTGTCGCAAGTCGAGCTGCAACCAAGCGCGAGGGACCCACCAGAGCGGGAGGTGTTCTAGACTTCTTGGCTGGCCTGTGGCCCGAGAAGCTCTCGGACGTGGCAGAGTACGGCAAGATCGGGATATGCAGAGGGGCGAGGGAGGGAGGGACGTCGGAAGAGGTCCTCGTCCAGGGCCAGCAGATGGTATGGCGTGCCCTAGGGAGGGGCCGTGAAGCTCGACGGAGTCTCCATATGGCATTTGAGTCTAACCTTGCCAAGAGGCCCTGAATAGCTGAATAGCGTGTGCGAGGACACGGCACGACCTGCACCACAGGTCGCGCTGCAGGCCGCGCCACACACCTTGGGCCACGGAATCACGAGTTGGCCCCCTCTGTCCCCTTGCTCGGGCGAACCTGGGTCACCCCACGGGCGCGAAGAGAGTCGCGCCTCGCGCATCGCGGCCTGGGTTAGAGAGGCGCCTTCTTCAGGGCGGCAGCGCGAGGGTGCGATATATATATACAGAGCATGAGACCTTGAGATCCCCGACAGACTGCATTCGCTTGGACGGGAGTCTACCCCTGCCAGGGGGGATAGAGCGGTCGGTCCGCGGCAGGGCAGTGCGGCAGGGCAAGGTACGGAGAGAGATGTGATGGGACTTCCGAGACGAGGTCTTCCTCAGCTCTAGTGCCCACAGGGAAGATCTCGTCCTGAGTCTTATAGTATCGAAGACGCCTACGGCGAATCACTGTCGCCCCCTGCCTTCTAGAATCGCTCATGCGGCCGAGCGTTGTGGCAAGAGCTCTGCCAAGCTATCGGACCATATGTTTCCCCCAACCGTTGTGGAAACCCTTCGGGAAACACTTGGGGGAGGATGGCTGGTAAGATCAGGAGGAGGAGGAGGAGGAGGAGGAGGAGAAGGCATTGGGCCCCAGGTCTTCTGACACCTACAGGAGGTCGTCAGAGAGTTCAGTCAGATAGTGAACCACCTGGGCCAGCCTCAGGCGTGCACTGCACACCTCTCTTTTCCCTTACTGTACTTGTGTGTTCAGTGCCGCGATATTCTCATTATCACTTTCGCTTCTGCTTCTGCCGTCAACACGGCCAAGCGACAGGGCCGTGAGCCCACTTGGCACCGACGAGCCCGAGCTAAAAGAGCAAGTGCCCGTCTACTTCTCAGAGCACTCCAGGCCCGACAGCTTCTCAGCCAACACCACAGTTCGGATAAGATGGCGGGCAAATGTGTGACTCGCGGTCCAGGAAGCGCCAGGGCTCAGGGTCCTGGCATACAGTGGGATTGTCAGCAGTGTGGAAGATATGTCAAGCAGCATCACTGGCGGTGCCTACGTGGATGCAGCTATGGACAGAGCGAACACATGAAGCCGAAGACTGGTGGCCCCTTCGCGCACGCGCAGCGACAGAGGATGAGAGCCGCCAGTTTGCCGAGTCACCAGCAGAAAGAAGATGAACGTCATATCAAATCCTTCATCGCCAAGGTAGTTCCAGCCACCCGTCCTGAGGTCATTGCGTCAGCTAGAGGACGAGAACTGTTTCAGGAACCACCTACGGACATCAAGGAGCTCAAGAGTTTCGAGCAGGCCAATCGTGAGAGGCTAAGAATGTTAGCCAAGCTAGCCATCGCTGCTCGTGAAGCAGGACATGGAGATCATATGAGTTTGGAAGGGATGAGCGTCATCAAGCTAATGCAAGCTACGACTGAGTCCGTCACCAGGCAGCTGAGTGACCTTCGCCAAGCCAAGGACCGCGTCCTCGACCGCATCAAAGGCATCAAGGACCGCGTCAAGGGCCTCATTGATGACGAGCGCCAGGCGGAGGACGAGCTCGAGCGCATCCGCTCCAGCATCGCCGAGCTCGAGGACCTGGCGGATGCGCAGGAGGGTGACGACATGGACGAAGACCAAGGAGTAGGAGCAGGCGGCGGCGCCGCAGCGGCCAAGTGTGCTGATCACCCGATCCACACGCCGCGCGGCATGCGGGCCTATCCAGCGGGTGCTGCACCCCCTGCGGCAGCGGCAGCTGCGGCCAGTGCCGCCCACGCCGCGTCGTCGGGAGGCCCAATGCACCCGCCGCCTGCCGCACCTCCTCCGTATTGCGGCCATGGCATACCACCTCCGCCACCGCCCGCCCAGCAGCCAACTCAGGAGATAGCCCAGATGCAGTTCATGATTACTCAGATGCTCAACATCCAAGCTAGCCAGGACCAGCGCATGAGGAAGATAACGCAGTACTTGCAGACGCAGCAGAACATTACAGCCCCAGCCATGGGGTTTGCAGCAGGGGCCCAGCCACCACACCAGGCTGGGCCCCCGCAAGCTGGCACGCCAAAGACGACGGCGACACCAGAGGAATCACCAGTGCCGATGACTCCGCCCGCGAGCACCAGGGGCGGACTCGCCTCACCGTCGCCATTCCCGCCAGGACAGCCGACGCCGCCTACGCCAGTAGACGGATGCCCGACACCAGTCGCGGGAACAGCCAGATGTGACCAGTGGAGAACCGGAAGAAGTACCCGTACCGATGCACGTGCCCTACCCGATCTCGCCGACCCAGCCGATGATGGAGACCCAGGAGGACCCCTACCTAGTGCGGCAGGCGCCTGCGTCAGTGATGCAGCCAGCGGCTACGGCGGCATCAGCCAGCCCGATCACAGCTCAGCCCGAGGTCGTCATCATCCAGGGGGCCCAGCCCGAGTCCGACGTCAAGGGCCCGCCGCGCAAGGAGGCCCGCCAGAAATGGGCCTTTTTTTGTTCAGCGCGAGGTGCCCCACAGCTGACGAAGAGTCGACAGCTACACTGGGGGCAAGACCAAATTCTTTACGCTTCGCGTATCCCCACCAGCCCATCTCACAGCAGCAACTCTTGCGAAGCATGCCGATAGTCGTGTGTGTGTGGTGTGTGTGTGTGTGTGTGTGTGCGTGTGCGTGTGTGTGTTTTTCCTCCAGGCGTGTGTCCGCTTGGCCCCGCATATCTCCCTTGCGCCTCCCCCCACCCGCCTCCTTGCGCATCCTCCTTGTGGGGAGAGCGGGGGGAGGGCGAGGCGGAGGAGGAGGGAGAGAAAGCGCTCCTCGTGATTTGAGTCGTTTGGGGTTTCTCGTCCTGGTGTGAGTCGTTCGGGCCCTTCTTCCTGGTGTGAGTCGTTCGGGCTCTTCGTGGTGTGAGTCGTTCGGGCTCTTCGTCCTGGTGTGAGTCGTTCGGGCTTCTCGTGGTGTGAGTTGTTCGGGCCCCTCATCCTGGTGTGAGTCGTTCGGGCCCCTCCTCCTGGTGTGACTCGTTCGGGCTCCTCGTGGTGTGAGTCGTTGGGGGCCCGCGTCGTGGTGTAACTCCTTCGGGCCCCTCATTGTGCGTGCGTCGTTCGGGCTCCTCGTGGTGTGAGTCCCCTCCTTGTGTGTGAGTCGTTCGGTCCCCTCTTCCTGGTGTAACTCGTTCGGGCTCCTCGTGGTGTGAGTCGTTCGGGGCCCGCGTCGTGGTGTGAGTCGTTCGGGCTCCTCGTGGTGTGAGTCGTTCGGGCGCCTCGTCTTGGTGTGAGTCGTTCGGGCCCTTCCTTGTGGTGTGACTCGTTCGGGCTCCTCGTGGTGTGAGTCGTTGGGGTCTCTCGTCCTGGTGTGAGTCGTTCGGGCTCCTCGTTGGGCCTGTTGGGGGCCTCTTGGAGCTCTTGGGGCGTCTTGGGGGCCTCTTAGGGGCCTCTTGGGAGCGTCTTGGGTGCCCCTTGGAGCCTCTTGGGGCCTCTTGGGAGCCTCTTGGGGACCTCTTGGGGCCTCTTGGGGGCCTCTTGGGGGCCTCCTGGCGGCCTCTTGGGAGCCTCCTGGTGGCCTCTTGGGGCTATCTTGGGGCCTTCTGCGACCTCCTCAGAAGCGCGAAGAAGCGCTGGCCCTTGAGAAGAACAACATGATGCCAAAACCGTCGTAAAATCAATGATTCTGCTAAGAAGGAAGAGGAACGCGGCCCCCTCAGAAGGCCAACATGGGGCCACCACCGCAGTAAAATCAATGTTTTTAACTTCAACGACGAGTTCAG